GATACGGAATTTCAAAAAACGTATACAAAACTTATTTATAATAATGAAAAAACGTATGCAAATTTTTTATAGGGACTGCTAGGCTAAAAGAATTTATCTTCTATTTATATAAAATGAAAAATATAAAGTTACCAAAGATATAAAAAAAATAAATCTAATAAATAAAATATATGAAATATAATAAATATATGAGATAAATAGGATAAAATAAATATATTGTATAAAAGAAATATATGCTATAGATGACATAGATAACATAGAAAATATATATGATTTTTTAGAGATCGATATCATCCTTTAGATCATTATCATCCATGTCTTCTTTTATGTAATAATATTATAACTATCTCAACTTTTTCAATTATATTAACAATTTCAACAATTTCAATTATTTCAACTAAATTAACTAAATTAATTATATTAATTATATTAAATATATAAAGTATATTAAATATGTCTGATATATCAATCATATCAATTATATAAGTTATGTTATTATTTAGGTTATATTATATAAATTAGTTATATTTTGATAGTCTAATCATAATACATTAGAATTTAAGAAGTCATTTGATAAGATTTAAAAGATAATATAATTATTCAAGTTAAAATAATCAATTCAGAAGATGTTATATTAGTTTAAAATTTTTAGTTTATCAATATCTTTGTAATATGTAAAAACTTTATATATTTTAGCCAAATTTATTACAAATAATAGTACTATTAATTATTACCTAAATTAAATTCAATATTATTTTACTTATAATATTAATTTATCATTCAGACTAGCTGAATATTTTCTAATATATATTTGTTAGTATAAATCTGCAAGTTCTCCAAATATATAATATTATTTAATAAAGAAGAAATATATAATATCAAATTATAAAATACTGGATTTTACCTAAAAGATATGATTATATAATACTAGTTTATCATATTTCAAATTGATTTATATAGTAAACCATTAAATTTCAGTCTAGTAAAATGCAAAAGAATAAAAGAATCTTTAGCTGATAATCTAATTAATAGAAAATACTATTTATAAAAATAAATTGAATGTTTTTAACATAAATTTATAATTTTAATATACAAAATATTAGTTATATTTTCTTTTAATTTTATTTTATTTTGATTTTATATATATAAACTAACTTAATTCAAATAGATTTAATTCATTAAAATTATTATATATTTATAGAAAATTAAATTAATATAAATTATTAAATTATATAAAATTAATATTATTAATTAATTATTAAATTTTATTTTATAAATTTCAAAATAGTTATAATTAAAAAATTATTTTTTTTTTATTTAAAAATATATTTGTGTATATTTTTATTAACTAGATAATTAAATATAATTTTAATTTTAATAATAAGCATTATATAAAAAAAAGTTTAATATATTTGGATATTTTGCAGTAGAAAGGGAGAAAACTACCAAAAAAATTTTTTTTATGTTAATGTTAAATCTGAATTTATTTTACTAAAAAAATTAATATTTAACTTAGAAAGTAAATAAAAAATTTTTTTGGTAGTTTCTTTCCTTTTTACTACAAAGCATCTATTTTATCAATTTATATAAGTTTATTAAATATATCTATAAGTAAATTCTCAAAGCTTTTTAATATGATTAACTTAAAGATTTTTTTATAATATAATTACTATAATATATATATATAATTAAATTATAGTAAATAAGCAGATAAATCTGCTTACTTGCATTTCTTTTGTTATTGTATAAGAATACTAAATTAAAATTAATAAAACAAAAATTTCAACCAATCATTAAATGTTAAGAAATTAGTTGACGAATATCCAATAGCAAACTGGTTTCGAATATTTTGAGCCCCTGAAATTTTTTGTGGCGTTGCTTTCAATATACGGATTTACGGAATTAAGGGACAAAATTTCGGACCCCATTCTTCCGTTTCATTGCAGTGAGTTTTCGATTAAGAAACCTTTACTTCATTATATAAAGACATGCTAAATCCTATATAAAATGGTAACTATACAATACACTATAAAGAACTTTTATTGTCACAATGAGCATGAGCGATCGCGAAACAGTCGGTAACGGTGGGTTGGATGACGAGTTATCACTTCCAAAAGGTATTATGTTCATTAATTATAAATTTTCCAAGTTACATATATATATTTTTTTTAACTTAGTGTGTTCTAAATAATTTGTTTTATTATTTTAAAGCAACTGTAACTAAACTCATTACAGAAATGTTACCACCCGACATTGCTTGTGCAAAAGATACTCGCGATTTGTTAATAGACTGTTGTGTTGGTAAGTAAGGTAATAAGTAAAGATCTTTTCCACTGCTTATATTCTTTAATTTGGTAATGACTCTATTTGTATTTATTTACCAGAATTTATTCATTTAATCGCTTCTGAAGCAAACGAAATCTGTGAGAAAGAAGCCAAGAAAACCATAGCTGCGGAACACGTCATCACCGCTCTTCAAGTATGAAATGGTTTTTCCGTACATAATTTGAGAACCTTATTTAAAAATTTTCACTTTATCATTTTACTAATTAAATATTATTAATTAGACTCTAGGCTTTGAAAATTATTTGTCTGAAGTACAAGAAGTTTTTAAAGAACATAAAAAATTGCAAAAGGTAAAACAAAATTTATCTCCCATTTTTTTTTCATTTTTTTTTTTTAATCTTATCATGTCCTAATCGAATATTTCTAATTACTAATTTTAGGATCGTGATAAGAAAAGCTCAAGATTAGAAAATTCAGGTATGACAGAAGAGGAGTTATTGAGACAGCAAGAACTTTTGTTTGAGCAATCTCGTCTCAAATATCAAGCACAGCAACAATCATGAATTTAGAAGCGATTGTATGAAAGATCATACTTGATAATAATATTTTATTATGAGTAAAATGATTTATTTTATTACAACGTCCTTTCTCTTTTTTCCTTTTTTTTTTTGTAATGTTAAGCTAGATATACATATGAGAATATAATAAATTTGATCATAATTATTCTTTTCGTTCGTCGTTAATTGAATAAAAAAAAAAGTGACTTTTCTATGTTAATCTAATTTTACGATAACGTTTTCTAGTAGATTTAGATTGTTATAGAAATAAAAGCTAAATTCCTTTTAGTTAGAAGTAACGCTTTCTAAATCCATTTATAACTGGTCAGTTGATAACAATTTTAATTCGAAACTCGGTTAAACTTAAGCCACAAGAATCAAGAAAATATTGAAAAAAAGGATGAAGCAAGTTAAGGCTGTGAATCCTAACTCTTTCTTGATTCTTAACTTGATTCAAAATTTTAATTATACTGTATAAATTGGATTATCTCTTTTGTTTTAAAAATATTGATCACCTTAGAATAAAAAATAATCTAACTAATGCTTCCATCTAACAACAAATTGAATTAATATGCTTTCATCATTATTATTATAAATTGGTAATTCTAATTTTTCATAAATTAACTAAATAAATATTTATAATTTTACCTGAAATTTAAGAATATTTTTAATACCATTCATAATATTAATATAAAGATTTTTATTATTTATATCAATAGTATTAATATTAGTTAATAATTTTCAATATCAATTTTTTTTCTTAAAATTTTATATTTATTTTTTTTTTAATTAAAAAGAAAAAAAAGGTAAAATTTAATAATTATTATATTATATAATTATATAAATAATATATTTTTTTTTAGTTTTAATAAAAATAATTTTCATTTTAAATCATTAAAAATATTATATTATAATAATAAAGTATTTAAATATAGATTAAGACCTGAGTGATTATATGTAAAATTTCACCTACTCATAAAATTAGAGTTATTTAAAGTTAAATTTAGGCATAAAATTAGGGTTGTTAGAGTTAGATTTAGGATTAAAATTTATTTATTATTACGTTATTAACCCTATAATCAATCTTTCAAAACCTAAAGTAATAATGATTTAATAATAAAGAATACGTGTGAGAAATTACAAAGTTACTATAGAATAAGTCCTATCACAATCAACTTTAGGTTTATAATTTAAACAATTAATTAACTTTAACAATTTATAAGAATAATAAACACGATTAATACATTAAAAAATTTTAATATATGTATAATTTAAAAAGAGATTCTTTTATTATAAAGATTGTATTTTTAACAATTCTTAACCTTAGATTCTAAGTCTTAAACTCAAATTATTGAATTATTATTGTTTTCTCTGTTCTTTTATAGGAACAATTTTCTATTCTATTTATATAAATTATATTTATAAAATGATCACTATCTAATATTATTATATATAAACTATTTGATAACGTTTAAAAATATTAAAGAAGTTAAAAATATTAAAAGTATTAATAACATTAATTATTTATCAACCTTTGTGATTGACTTTATATAATATCAACTTGTTACACTTCTCTATTTCTTATTTTTAATAATTAATTGAAAAACAGAAAATTTTTATTGCTAAATATTTTATTTGTTACCTATTATATGTTATATAATGATTTCATCTGATAAACAAATTAGCAAAAGTATTAAATATAATACAGCTTATTAATTTAATTATAAAATATTTTATTTTTTTGGAAATTTGTATTTTATCTATTTTACATAAAATACATACTTTATATTTATATATATTAAAGCAGAGATAGGATTAGGTTAGGGTTAAGATTAAAATTAGGATTAAGATTAGAGATTATTTATCACAATGTATTATATTCCTATATGTTTTATTTTTATAGCTTATTCAGAAAATTTAGAAATTTTTTATAAAAAATTTTATTTGTCATCTATTTTAAAATATATCCTACATTTTATATAGGTGTGTAAAAAATAAAAATTCTTATTTCTTTATAAAATTAATCAAATTAATCATAAATATATTTTTTATTTAAATATAGTATATAATAATATAAATATTATTATATATTATTCCTTAAACTGCAAATATAAAATTATTTCTAAAACATTTTAGAAAACTTAAAATATTTTGATATCTAATGATTAAAATAAAATTTTTTAGATTTATTATATTATGATGTATCTAATGATATTATTTTAAACTTTTAAAATTAATAATTATTAATATATATTAATTTTTCAATTTTTAATTTTTAAAAATAATTTATTATCTAATAATTACAAAAATATATATACTTTTTCTAACGATCACTTAATCAAAAATTTTTATGTAAAAAATATGTACATTCAAGGGTAACTACAGCTTAGTCTGCAAACAAAATACAAAACTTTTTTTTCAAATTTCTTTTTCTCTTTGTTCTTCCAAAACCCTCTTATTTTAAAAAAACAATTTTTGTTAGTCCAAATGATGCTATTTTTTTTGTTAAAATATTTTTTTTGCCACTTCTCATAGTTATTTTTTTTTATTTTCTGTTTTTTTTTTTTGTTTACAAAAATGAATATCAAAAGGTATCTCAAATGACAATCAGAATTGACAATAACTTTAGATCAACTAATTACACATGATAATTTCCTATTATCTTCCTAAATAAACGCACTCTTTTTAGATTTTTAATGTTAACGAGCTTGCTGATCTTAGTAGAATTTTTGGTTTTTGCAACTGTGTGATTTAAGCTTTATATAATGACTGTCAGTAGTTGTAATCTGAATTAATAGATATCTTAGTATAAAAGTTTAAGAGTATTGAAGAGCCTTTGATAAAACTTAGTAATATAGGTGCTTCTGTATTAGAAGATCATTGTAATCAGGAATTAATCAGATAACTTAGCTAAAAACTTATTAGAGTCATGTGTCTTTTTTAACCTTTTTTTTTAGATATTAATCTCAGGTTCATTTGTTTTGAAGAGTATTTATTTTTGTAATTAGAAGATTAATAAATAATTAAAAGAAAAGTATTATAATATTAATACTTTATTTGTCTTTTTCGTTAAAGATTTACTTATTAGAAATGGTTCTAATGAATGCCTAGAGGGGATCGTTAGTGATTAGTTGACTCAAATAGACTTGAAATATAGCTATAGGAGGTAGCTGGATTTTAATATAGATTTTTATTTATTTTCTTTTTATTTAAATAATTAATGCATTTAAAATTATAAATTTTTAATAAAACTTATGATAATACTACATCATTAAAGTTAAAAAAAATAATCTTAATTATATAAAAGATTTTTAAGATCTTTAATTACTAAATATAATTGTAATTATTAATTACTAATTATTTTCTATCCTAATAGAGAATGGAGATTTCCTACTATGTTTAATTAAAATCAATCAGTATTAATTTATAATTAAATTACTTATATGATTAGAATCAATTAGCAGTATTTTAAACTAATTTATAGTTGAATAAAAGTTCTAAATTAATGCTAAATTAATGCCTATTTTAGGCTAATTTATGATTAAATTTAAGTTTCAAATTGATGCTAAATAGCTATATCTAATTGGAATCAATCAATAGTTTAAAAAATCAAATAATAATTGAAAATATGACTAATCAACTTTAAATAATATCAAAATTGACCTAAAATCAGCTATCTGATTTTTAGTTAATTTGAATTATTTCAACTAGTAATTAGATAATGAATAATTACTATTTTAAGTGAAAATCATTATACTAATAATTCTAATATAGATGTAGTTAGTGAAATTATAAGAGTTTATTTTAACTAATAAAAATGAGTTAGATTTTGTAAATTATATACTATTGAACTAACTTGTAGAAATATAGTTCTTAATACTTATAATTATTATATTTATTATAGTAAATAATTAAACTTTTTAGAATAAAAGATATAGTTATAAAGATATCTTTATTAATCTTATCAAATTAAATTCTGAGACAAGCAAAAAATTATTTAGAAAATGATTAAGAGAGAGCAAAATAAAAGATAATTTAACTTTAAAGAAATATTAAAAAAAAGATATAAAGAATAAAGTTCAATCAAATAAAGTTATTATAATTATTAATATCTTAGAAATTTTTTTCTTGATAATTAATTTTAAAACTAAGAAAAGTTTTGATAAAGTATTTAAACAAAAAATCAAAAATATGAAAAGTAAATAAAAGAGAAAATAAAAAAAATTCAACAATTAGAAGAAGTATTAAAATTAAAAGAAGAAATATCTAATTATTATTTAAAGATCTTTGAATTAGCTAAACAGTGCAAAAGAATAAATAACATGAAATTAAATATTAAACTAATAAGTTAAGAAGAAGAGATAAATAGTATTGTAATTTTTACTCTTTTGAAAGAAAAAAAAGTTTAACTACTATTTACAAAATGTTATTTTACAATATAAGTAATAATAATTATCACAATATTGCTTATATTTGTATTGAGTTTAAAAAAACTCTTAATAATGATATTCTACTACATTATAATAATTGTGATTGAATTATAAGAAATAAAGTAGACTTCTTTATGATTTAAAAAAAGATGAATCAATTAAAACTCTAACATTAACAAAAATAATGATACAAAATTATGTGAGTAGATTAGAATAATAAAATAAAGACTTGAAATAGTAACTGGTCAGTGCTAAAGAAAATTAGTCCTTATTTAGAAGTTTTAAAAATTTCAAAAATTAATATAATAAGTAAAGGTAAAAATTATTAGATAAAATTCAAAGACTTAAAGTGAGATTAAATTTTTAAGAAAATAGTAAATCCAATATATTGCTTAAATTGTAGTTAAAGAAAATAAGAGATGATTTTGATTAAAAGTAAAAAAGTAATTTAAAGATTGATAAATTTAATAAGTAATTTTTTTATCTATATATTTCTAAAGAAGTTTGGTATCATTGATTTAAAAACATATGAAGCAATTTTTTCTTCTTTAATAATACTTTTTATTGTACTGTAAT